TCATCACGCCTGCGGCGCCAGCCACGGCGAGCGCTGGCTGCCAGGTCGCCCTCCAGGGGCGCCCGCCGGCGGTTGACGCCTCGACAGACATGAGCGTCACCCCCATCAACAGGATCCTCGGGCCCATACGCCCCACCAGGATCCCCGCCAGCCCCAGGGACGGCACCGCAGCATCAGCCGGGGCCGCACTCGCGCAGGTGCCCGCCTGCCTGGAGCCTCGCACAACCAAAGCGAGCGCTGGCTGCCAGGCCGCCCTCCAGGGGGGCCCGCCGGCGGTTGACGCCTCGACAGACACAAGTGTAACCCCCACAAGCCGGAGCCCCGGGCCCATACGCCCCACCAGGATCCCCGCCAGCCCCAGAAACAGCACCGCAGCCCCACCATTGCCGTCCGCTGCCGCGGCGGCGCGGTCCTCTAGCTTTGCACCCATGCCGGCACGCTTTGCGGCGACTGTGCCTGCCAGCCAGGCGGCCATCACGCCATCTTGGGCGAGCGGCATGGCCCTAGAGCTGCTCATGCAGCGGCGCGCCGCGGCTCCCCCGGCGCCCGTTGGTCTTCAGCTGCCCTCGATGGCAACGCCGCCGACGCCCAACACCCCTGCAGCCGCACTCGACCTCAGCCTGTGCTGCTCGCCGCTGTTGCGCGTCAGTGCCAGCTGCGGCGTCTGCGCGACAACCGCCGCACGTGCCGAGGCGCAGGCGGCGGCGACGCGGGTCCACGCGCAGCACGAGCTAGAGGCCGCGTGTCTCGTGCACTCTGCATCTGAGGCGCGCCTGCAGCGGCAAATCGAATCCCTCACGCAGCAGCTGGCCGACTCGCGCCGCAAGGCCGAGGCGCTCAGCCGCGCAGCTGCCGCGCGCCGCGCCGCTGAGTCAGCCGCGTTGTCCCTGGGGGAGCCCTCCTCACCCATTCTCGACCAGCTGGCCGCCGCCAAGACCGGCGGCCGCGTCAGCAGCTTCTTCGAGCTCTGCGGCGACGGCGCGACCCAGGCTGACCGCGCCGCTGCCGCCGAGGTGGTGGTCGCGCTGCAGAACACCCTGAGCTTTGCCCAGGACGTGGCGGCAGGGGGCGCGCTGCTGGTGGATTGCGCACGCTGCGGCTGCACGCAAACGGAAGAGCAGGCGCGGCCATGGCCGGCCGCTGACGGCTGCCGTGGCCGCAACAACACACCGAGCAAGGCAAATGGAAGCCTGGCCACGAGCCTGGAAGGGAGCACCCTCAGCATCGCCCTCAGCAACAACAGCGGCAAGGCGGCAAGTGTCAGCTCCGTGGCGATAGATAGATAGATAAGTTACTCATACCATAGCATCACTGCCATACCATAGCATCACTGCTCCGTGGCGGTGGTGGACACGCCACAGCGCACGCCCAGCAGCAGGGCCAGCAACAGCAGCGGCACAAGTGCCGTCGTTAGCAATGGCGCTGGGTGCATCAGTGGTGCCAGCAGCGGCTCAAACCGCGGCCCCCGCGGCACCACGAGTGCGAGCGGCAGCAGTGTAATCAGGTCCGAGGGCGTCGCCAGCAGGCCCGCCCTCAGCCCTGTGCCCGAGGAGCGCCCCCGCGGCGCCCGCGTGCCTCGCGCCTCTTTCCTGCGCCGCGCCGTGAGCCTGGGCAGCGCGAGCGCTGCGGTGCCGCAGGAGGCCCCCATTGAGGTGGCAGCAGCGCTGCCAGCAGATCGATCCAGCACAGCGCGCTGGGGGCGCTGCATCTCTGAGCTGGGGGCGCAGGCGGCCAGCAGGGCAGTGGCGTGTGATGAGGGCACCCAGACAGAATGCTTGAGCGGCGGGCGCGGCGGCAGCGGGCGTGCGGAGACGGGGTGGCTGGGGGCATGGCTGTCAACTGCCAGCAGCAATTTGGAGGCGGGCTCTGTGGGATTGGTGTGAGTAGAGCACGCTGAGGCCCACGTTGAATGAGCCAGGCGTGATGTAATCATTGGGATGTGTGTGCGGGGGCAGATTGGTGTCGTTTGACTGGCTCCTTGCAGGGTTTTGGGTAATGGGCTGTTCATGTGGGCATGGCGCATAAGTGCTGGATGGAAGCATTGTTGAGGGTAATCCATGTCGAACACAAAGACAGGTGTCGCCAACCATCATGAGAGAGTGGCTGACGCGCCCGACGCGACAGCCCGAGCCGTTCTGACGGGGCAATGGCGGTCGCTCCCTGACCTCCCTCCACGCATGCTGCTGCGCGATCTCTGTTGCGTGTTGAGATGCAAAGGGTCATGCGCTGGTGCCAGCCGTGTAGCCCCTGCGCAGTCGCTCAAAAATTATCCCTGCGCACTTGCCTGGCCAACCGCGCCGCCACGGTCTACCGCTCGAGCGGGAGGCCACGACGGCCCCACCGATGTGACCACAGAACATTTCTTATCTACTTTCTGTGCTGCGTACGCAAACCGCTTTCCATCAAACGCGGGTGCCGGAGGTGACCCCCAGCTTATCAGAATGTGATCGCCTTTCTTGTTGAATCTATGACATGTGATAAGTATCCGAGCACACATACTCTCCGTCTGTACATACAACAAAGCGTTGAGACACACTCGCCCACTCTGTTGTCTCACCAGCCTGCGGTGAACTGTTCAGCCGTCCTCGTATAGGAGCAATGAAGAAGCGCTTTGATCAAACAGATGACGACTCGGGCTCGGAACCAGAGCAGCAGCACAACACGAAGGCTGCCGCAGCAGCAGCAGGTCGCGCACACGGCGACGGCGCAGACGGCGCAAGCACTAGCGGCTCCGACTCGGAAGAGCCAGGCACCAGCGACGGCGGCAGCGATGACGGCGATGACAGTGATGCGGAGCGGGCGCTGGAGCAGCAGCTGGCAGACATCCCATTGGAGGTGCTCGCCAAATTGAAACAGGACGGCCTGGGGCCTGTCGGCCAGGCGGCGCGGGCGGCGGCGGCGGCGGCGAAGTCCAAGACGTTCAAGCGAGACACCAAAAACCGGCCGCAGGAGACGACCTCCAAGCGGCCGGTCTCGCGGTTCAGGGAGGTCATCCAAGTGCCAAAGCAGTGAGCCACGTTGCAAGACAGCGGCGCCGCCGCCACAACCCTCAGCGCAGCAACCCGTGCCTGCGCTTGGGGCGTGCGCTGCCGCCCGAGCAGTTGCATAAGCCGTTTTTTGCTGCGGCAGCGCCAAGGCGAACTGAGCAAGGCGCTCTCTCGCACACCTCCCTCAACCTCTTGGCTGCCACGCACACCCTACACACACAAAACACACACACACGCGCGCGCACGCACACACACGCAAGGACCAACACCACCGCCACCCATGCCACCCCCTGCTGCAGACGCGGCCTCGACCCACGCTTCGATCCCGGGGTGGTGGGCGCCAGCGGCGACCCCCAGGAACTTGACAGGCAGCGCAAGCGGTACGCATTCCTGTATGACGAGGTCATCCCCCAGGAGAGGGCGGCCCTCAAGCAGCGGCTCAAGGTGCGGCGCAGCGTCGCGGGCGGTGGCGGGCGGGGCGCGCAGCCTGTGCAGGCGTGAGGCGTGCAGGGATGCGCAGACGGCTTCGCTGTAATGCACGAGCAGGGAGGCGTGCAAGATGCAGCTGTTCTGCTGCATAACAATATGCGGGCGCCCACAGCAGACACCTCTCATCCATCCCGCGGCGTCTGTCGCCTCTGGCGCGTGCGCCGCTTGCGGCGCCGGCGCGGCGCGCCTCGCCTCACCCCTCCGCGCCTGGCCGTGCTGCCTGCCGCCCGCCAGAAGGAGAAGCGGGAGAGCAAGCGGCGCGAGATTCAGGCGGAGGTGACGCGGCTGGAGCAGCGGCTGCGGGACGAGAAGACGCGGCGGAAGCGGGTGGAGCTGGACAAGACGTACAAGGTGGGGAGACGGATGTGCTTCGCAGGGGGGCACAGTGGCGAGGCGAGCCCCCCCTGCACATGTCCGAGGCGGCCGCTGTGCAGCTGGGGCCGTCGGGATTCTGGGCGTGCTGCGGTGCTGCAAAAAAAGCCCCGACGCTGGTAGGATTGTGCGTCACAGTGGAAGGCTGCAACGTACTCAGAAACGCGTACGGCTGGCGCGTGCCCGCAGGCGGAGCAGAAGGCGGCGGTGGCGGCGGGCAAGCAGCCCTTCTACCTCAAGAAGAGCGACAAGCGCAAACGCGAGCTGGTGGCCAAGTACGAGGAGCTGAAGGCCACGGGGCAGCTGGACAAGTACATGGAGAAGCGGCGGCGCAAGAACGCCTCCAAGGACCACCGCTACCTGCCTGGGCGGCGCGGCGGCGATGGCGACGAGTGATTGTACTTGTAAGGAAATTCGTCTGGCCTTGATATGGGCCACGCAGGCTGTCTATTGGGTCCAGCTGTGAATGCATGACGGTGCACAGTGTTGGGCAGGTGGGGCGGCAGCTGCTTCAAAGGCAAGAGTACCGTAGAGGCTGCAGCATGGGTCCTCAATGGCCGAAATTATGCGCGTTGTAGATTGGTGCATCTGCTTTATCATACAGAGCGCCTGTCGTCGGGCATGGGCTTGATGCATTGCCTCAGATCGAGGCCACCGAGCGTCCGCACCACGATCGAGTAAAGTATTATCAGCCTTTCTGCTCATATTGACCACCTTGAGGGGCAATAGGGCGTCACTGGGGCAGAACAGTTCAAGCACATTCAAGTGCGACAGCTCGACCTTAGCGTGGAGGGTCTACCATGTCGTCGTGGGCCGCGAGCTCAGAAAGATGGAAAGCGCGCCCGAGCATGGGTCCTGGGCCCGGTAAGCCACGAGGCCCAGGCACACTCGCGTGTTGCATCTGAGCGTGCGCGTGAGCACGACAACACTGCAGGGCGCTGGGGTGCTCACGCAGCCCAACATGTGCCGCGCTCGACGTCCCTCACGCCTCGCAGGGGAGTATGACCCAAAGTCCGTGGATGGCTGGAAGGCTGACCCCAAGAGCGGCTTCGTTGGCGACTCCCGCTTCCGCTCTCAGGACCTCTCTGAGAGTGAGCGCCTGCTTGGGAGCATGCCCATTCCAAACGCCAACGGCAACACACATTGCAACCGGCAGATTGAGCGCAGAATTGCCCTGTCTAAGCTCCCTAGCTACCGGTGCACACTGCCTCAACCACAGGCATGGGCTCTGGTGGCGTGCCTGCGCTGCGCGAGCCGTCGCCGCCGCGCACGCGCAAGTCGCTGGCGCCTGGCGCCGACCGCAAGTACTCCTGGGCAACGCAACGCATCACGGAGCTGCAGGCTGAGCTGACCGAGGCACAGGCAAAGATCAAGGTGAGGGGAGAGTGGGCAGCAACATCGGCAGTGGTGGCTTGACCAGAGGGTGGGGGGGTCAAGGAACGAGGCATGAGGCGTGCCATCTTTGGTTGATTTTGGCAGCTCTTTTGTGGAGCAATCTGAAATTTTTGTGTTGTTTTTCGTGCTGGTCACTGATCACAGGAGCTGAAAGCAATCCTCAAGGCCCGGCATACAGAGGTGGAGCTTGCCGCCCAGAACCAGGTGCGCGCCTGCATAGACTGGCACCAGCCTGCTTTGCAGCTGCTGTGCACATCCATTAGTATATCCTGAATACGATTGTCAGGCTAACAATGGAGCGCATACACATACCCCCTCGTTTTCCGACACACATCCACGTGCACACTGTGTTGTTGCATGCACCCCCGCAGGAGGCTGCTGAGGCGGCGATTGTCAAGGCCAAGGAGCTAGAGGAGCAGCTGTCCGCCACCAAGACGCAGCTGCAAGCCGCACAGCGTGCGGCCTCCGAGTCTGAGAGCGCCGCCGCCGCGCTGCGCGAGCGCCTGGACGCGCTGCAGGCGCAGGCGGACGCGCAGGCAGACGCGATCGCCAAGCTGGCGGCGCAGCTGGGGGAGCGCGAGGCCGAGCTTGAGAGGGAGCAGGAGCAGGTGGGCTGGCGAGCATTAAAGAATGATGTTGGGAGAGCGTGCTGCTATGTAGGGCTTGGCATGTTTCCAACGCGTGCCTGCAAGAGCAATTATGGTTATCGGTGGTGGGTGAGGAGGCTTTGCAACATTGTTCAATGCCCGTGGCCTCATGACGTTACACACCTGCCATGTCGCTCAACCCTGCAGCGCCAGCACGTGGCGGAGATGCTGTCCGATGCGCAGCAGCGCTGCCATGACCAGGATGGCGAGATCTGCGCCCTGGAGGCGCGACTGGAAGAGGAGGAGGCGGCGGCCGCCGAGCTGGCCGAGCGCCTGGGCGCCGCCGAGGAGGAGGCCGCCCGGCTGGCCGCGGAGCTGTCCGCCGCCGAGGGAACGATTGGCGACGCGACCGCGGGGCTCGCGGACGAGCGCGCCGCGCGGGCCGCGGCGGAGGCCGGGGCGGCGCAGCTGGCGGAGCGGCTGGCGGCGGAGGAGGAGGCACGAGATAGCGCAGAGGCGGCGCTGAGTGCAGAGCGGCAAGCGAATGGGACGCTCCAGGGGCAGCTGGACGCCGAGCGCTTGGCGCTGGAGGCGGAGCAGAGCGAGCGCGCGGCACTGGAGGCGGCGCTCGCCGCGGCGCAGGAGGAGCTGGAGCAGGACAGGGCGCGCGCCATGGCGGAGCTGGCCGGCGCGCGCGGGGAGCACGCGGCGGCCCTCGACGCGGCGGCGGAGGAGCTGGCCGCGGCGCGGCGCGAGGGCGAGGTGCTGGCGACGCACCTGGACGCTGAGAGGGCGGCGCTCGCGGCTGAGACTGAGAGGGCCGAGCAAGCTGAGGAGGAGCTTGGGGCCGCACGGCGCGACATCAAAGCCGGTGCCGCGGCCTTGGCCTCTGAGGCGGCGGCACGGGCGGAGGCTGAGGGGGCACTTGCCGCAGAGCGCGCCGCGCACGGCGCGGCGCGCGAGGGGGCCGCCGCCCTCGCCGCCCGCCTGGAGGCGCAGGAGGCGCGCGCGGCGGCGGCCGAGGACGAGCTGCAGCTTGCGCAAGCCGAGGGTGCGCGACTGACCGCGGCGCTGGCGGACGCCGAGGCGCGGCTCGCAGAGGAGGCACATGGCGCCGAGTCGCTGCGCGCACACGTAGCGGGCCTTGGGGCAGAGCTGGAGGCGGCGCGGGCAGCGCTGGACGCAAGGGAGCGCGAGGGCGCGCGGCTGGCGGCGCGGCTGGCCGAGGCGGAGGAGCTGCTGGGTGGCGAGCGGCGGGCGCTGGAGGCGGCGAGGGGCGAGGTGGCGGCGCTGCGGTCGGCGGCCGAGGAGGCAGACGGGCAGCTGAGGGAGGTGCGCCAAGAAGGGGGCGTCAGGCGGGTTGTTGCAGTCGTGCCCGCGTTCGATTCTCACCCGTGCCAACCGCAGTGTCAACTGTAGTGTCAATTATCATTAACACATGCAGCCACGCAGTGAGAATTGGGGATCCCCCCAAATTGCAGGTTGCTGGGAGCTGCCGCATCACTCATCCTCATTCACAGTCCTTGCTTCCTTTCGCTTCTGCCGCCGCCGCTGCCGCCATTTTCCATGCGCAAACAGGCGCGCCGCGAGCTTGGCTGTGCGCGGTCCGCCATCGAGGAGCACGAGGCGTCCCTCGACCGCCGCGCCGCCGAGCTGGACGCCGCGCGCCGCCAGAACGCCGACGCCGCAGCGGGCGCCGCCGAGCTCACGGCGCAGCTGTCCGCCGCGCGCGGCGAGGGCGCGCGGCTGGCGGGCGAGCTCGAGGGCGCGCTGGGGCGGCTGGAGGCGGGCGCGCGGGCCCTCGACGCGGAGCGCGCCGCTGCGACCGCGCTGCGCGGCGAGCTGGACGTGGCGGAGGCGCGCTGCCGCGATCTGGGGGAAGATGGGGAGAAGCTTGCGGCCATCATTGACGAGCAGGGCGCCGCGCTGGCCGCCGCGGCCGACAAGGCCGCCGCCCTCGAGGCCAAAGTGGTGAGGTGCGAGGAGGAGATTGTGGCGGCCCGTGCGGAGGCTGCCGCAGCGGCGAGTGAGGCGGCGGAGCGCCAGGCCGCCCTGGAGGAGCGGCTCGCAGCGGCAGAGCGCTGGGGGGCGGAGACAGCCGCGCAGCTGGACGCCTTGCGCGAGGAGGCCGCCGCCGCTGCTGTCGCGGCCAGCGAGCACGAGGCCGCCCTGGAGAAGCAGATCGCAGCCGCCGACGGCCAGGTGGCGGAGACGCAGGGGCAACTAGCGGCGCTGCGCAACGAGTCTGCGGCTGCGGCGGCTGCGGCCGGCGAGCGCGAGGACGGCCTGCGGAAGCGCCTCGAGCAAATCCAGGGCCAGCTGGCTGGCGTAGAGGAGAGCCTCGCAGCGACCGCGGTGGCCGCGTCCGCCGCTGACGAGGCGGCCGACGAGCGCGAGGCGCAGCTGCAGGGGCGGCTGGCGACCGAGGAGGCGCGGGCGGCAGCGCTTGAGGGGCAGCTCGGGGCGGCGCGCGAGGCGGCGGCGGCCGCGGCGGCCGCTGCCGGCGAGCGCGAGGGCGCGCTGCGGCAGCGGCTGGCGGATGCGGCCGCTGAGCTGGCCGACGCGACGGCGCAGCTGGCAGAGGCGCAAGAGGCCTCAGAGGCGGCGGCCAGGGGCGCGGCCGAGCGCGAGGGGCGGCTCGAGCAGCGCGTCGCGGCGGCCGAAGCGCTGGCCGTAGACCTGAGCGCGCAGCTAGCTGCTGTGCGGGAGGCGGCCGACGCCGCAGCCCAGGACGCAGGCGAGCGCGAGGCGGCGCTGAAGCAGCAGCTGGCCGACGCAGATGCCGCCCTTGCAGACGCCCGCAGCGCGGCGGCCGCGGCGGCCGCGGGCGCAGACGAGCGCCAGCAGGCGCTGACGCGGCGGCTTGCAGAGCAGGGGGCGCGGCTCGAGGAGACGGCGGCGTCTCTGGACGTCGCGCGGTCCGAGGCCGCGGCCGCAGCCGACGCAGCCGCCGGCCGCGAGGCGGGCCTGCGCGAGTCCCTGGCGGCCGCGGAGGCTCAAACCAACGATACCCGCGGCCGCCTGGAGGCGGCTGAGGAGGATCTCGCGGGCAGGCGCGCCCAGGGGGCGGCGCTGGCGGAAGAACTCGCGCGCGTCGAGGCGCTGCTGCGGCAGTCGGAGGGGCGCGGGCAGGCGCTCCAAGCTGAGGCCGCCGAGCTCCGGGAGGTGCTGGAGGCGGCGCGCGGCGACGGGGCCGCCGCCGAGGCGCAGGTGAGCGGTTCGCACGACGCCCTGTGCACGGGTGGCGTCCGCGTGCGCGCGCACTGACGCATTCGGCTGCCTTGACGCGCCCTGCGCGCGGTTGTCCCCGGAAACATCATTTTCTGTCCTCTTGGCCCTAAACGTCGCCGCCTCCTTTTTTCGTCCTATCAACCCTTTGCAGTCCGCGGCCCTGGCCGACGTGCTGCAGGCCGCGACCGCCGCCGCGGCCAACGCCGAGTCCCGCCTGGCCGCCGCCGCCGCCGCCCGCGACGCCGCGCGCGCGGCGCTGCTGCGCGAGGGCGACGCGCGCGCCGACGCGGAGGCGCGCGCCGCAGGCGCCGAGGCGCAGCTGGCGGTGGCGGCGGAGGAGCTGGCCGCGGAGCGGGAGGAGGCCCTCGGCCTGCAGCGGCGGGCGGAGGGGCTCGAGGCGGCGCAGCGGGAGGCCGAGGCGCGCGCCGCAGAGGCCACGGCCGCGGCGGCGCGCGCGAGGGAGGAGGCGGAGCAGGCAGCCGCGGACGCCGCGCGGCGGGCGGCGGCGGCGCGGGCGGAGAGGGAGATGCAGGCTAAGGAGCTGGACAGCATGCGGCAGGTGCGGGCCTCTCAGGCCAGGTCTGGAGCCTCCCAGACGGCATCGCGCGCCTGGTTCACTGCCTTCGCCTCGCCGTTGCAGTGCATGTTGAACAGCTTCGCCTTCATCAGGCGATGTTGCTGTATTTGTGTTGTTATGGTGCGTGGCTGCGACAGCGGGCAGGACGCAGCCCCAAACATGGCGACTCGCCGAGTGACTGTTGAAAACGCCGCGCCGACCGCCTCCCAGGAGCTGTCTGCGATGTGCCAGCGCGCGGCCGACGCGGAGGGCCGCGTGCTGACGCTGGAGGGCGAGGTGCTGCGGGCGCAGGAGGAGCTCGCGGCGCGCAGCCCGCCGGGGGCGCGCACCGAGGAGGTGGTGAGCGCCGCGCACGGCCCCGCCCTCCCCCCTGCTGCCCTGCCGCTCCCAGCTGCTTCTGGAAGGGGCGTGTCCGCAGATGGCTGGACGACGCTGTGGCATGGCCACTCTCTATGTGTCGGGACATGGGATGTTGCCCAAGTTGGCCGACGGGTCACACGTCGATGCAGCGAGCTAACAGCATTCACCCCCCCCCCCCCGCTTTGGACAATGGCACCCCTACAGGTGGCCCAAATGCAGCAGAAGGTGGAGGCGGCGCGCACCGCGCAGGCCGCCGCCGAGCGGGAGGCCGCGGCGGCGCGCCGCACGGCGGCGCACGCGCAGGTGCGCGGGGCCCCAAGCAACTGTCAGCGCCGTCGCCCCGTCCCAGCGCCGCACGCTCCTGTTCAGCCGCTTCAATTCTGTCCAGCGTGCAGCCCGAAGCCGAGCAGCACGGCCTCGTGCCCATACGAGTAACACCCTTCCTGCC